CAAAACAACGATTTGACAGGTCATCAGCCATGTAGTCCCCGGGTGACTTCTTCTCATCCCGTACGTAAAAAATAAAATGAGAGGTCAACGTTTTTCGACACCTGAAGAAGCCGTTGATGCGCTCAGAATCCATGTTTTGGAGTTACCTACATCAGAGTGGCAAAAGTGCTTCAAAAATGGTTCGAGCTCATGCAAAAGTGTATAGGTCTAAATGTGGAGAATTTTGAAAGGCAGCAAAACGATTTCCAATAAATAGTATTTGTTTCTGTTCTCAAATCCCGAAATATAAAAGGCAGCCTTCGTACTAGAGACAAGGCATGTACTCTCATGAAAAGCCAGCCCATGTACATGAGCATGGCGCCTCCTCATCTTCTTGGATCTCTTACTGATTTTACTGATTCTTTGGTGTTTTCTGGCCGCAACTTAAGCTAATCACCAGCCGATGTACATTAGGTAGGAAAAAAGTAAGTATGCGATGAAAAGGATAAAAGTAAAGCCGCCAGGTGTTAATCAATCCCACTGTGGGATGCGCCCCGCATTCGACTTCCATCCATACCTGTAATGACCTATTGAATATTTGCCTATTCAGTTATTAACAGCGGCCAGATACGCAAACATTTATGTGTTTTTCTCCCAGAGGGGTCTATTACCGATTTTCTGACCTCGGAGGGCTGGACGGTGTGGAGTGCTGGATTAGTGTCCATCTTTCCTCTCATAGCCTGATCATCTCTGAATGTCTAGTTTGTAAGAGGCGATAAAAAGTGAGAAAGTGTAACTGCCTCCCAAGCAGAACATATCAGCAAGATCAGGCTCCTTTCACTGTCCCGGATACGGAGAAAGAGAAGGATAATACTAATACGATCAGTGCGGGGGCGATATGCAAGCACGTTGTTGGGTGGGATAACATAAGGAGCTGTGTGGACCTTCTAACAAGATGAAGATGATCCGCCGTGCTCTACCATACCAGATCACCTCCTGCGCGACCATGAAACGGCGGTATGGGAATGGGAATCACCCGTGGGAAAATTTATTCAAAGAAAAGGTTGTTCGCGGAAAGGAGGGAATAACAAAAGCTTTGAGAGAGACAAATGTAATACGCAAGGCTGTTGGAGGGTTAGTGACAGAAAGGATAGCCTTCATAATCAGAGATATGAGTGTCGTATCGGACCACAAGTCAGATTTTAAGGTGCCGTGAACTTGCGCTACAGCAACCTCCTCCTCCTCCTCCCCCCCCACTCTTCGTTTGTTCGTATCGGTAACAGCCAGGTCAACACGTCTCCCATCACTCCGGTGTCTGTCAACTCTGTCAACTGGAAGCAAAATTGTAGATTGGATGCTGGTTTACGGCGTGTTCCGAAACGGGATCCCTCCACGTCATGAATATATTTTCATCTATACCTCTTGATATGCTGGAAGGCGGTTCAAGTTGAAACCAGGGGAGGAAGAAGAGGTGCGGCAATGAATGAAGGAGAAATCAAGAATGGACTGAGTAGCACTAGCCGGCAGACGCAGCCAGTTTGTATCAGCTCATGATTTATTTCTGATAAAGGTTGAGTAACGGACGTAGTTGTGGTAGGATCACGAGCCAGTTTACCCATTCCTCCTCAGCTACCGGTCGTTAGTCTAAAGACTTTAGGGTAGGTGACCATTACGGCCCAAATGGTAGGGTGTCAATTGAAGCAAACTATAGATTTCAGCTCCAATGATACCCACTTTCGTCGTGCTCTGTATAGTGGTGGCCAACATTCTACCTTTGATCAGTCTTTGCTCCAAAAACAAGGCAGAAGAGGGTAGGTTATCTAACATTATAGCAAATACCATGCCGCGCAGGCAAAAAATTCGTGGGTTTGGACTTTGCACGGTGTGGCTTGGGAGTTTTTGAATATTTTATGGCTATCACTTGAACACTGTTAATCAATCGCGACTTTACGATGAAGACGACTAATTGAAGTGATAGTCCAGAATAGCGAAGAAAATGCGAAGCCATCATATTCATATAAACATGAGGCACCAAAAAAGTAGCAAATCAGTGATCGGGCGGGAACGTGGCGGCAAAGGCTGCATGGAAGGAGTACTTGGACGAGCTGTCCGAATGTGTACGCCATTGCGCTCATCTGGCTACAGTAAGCTGCGTGCGTGAAACGTGTGCGCCCTCATCCAAGTGGTAAAACCTCTGCTGGTGGTTCCTTAACACAACTCAGCAGGAGGGATGGTGTGCTACCGGAATAATGCCTGCAATACCTGAAATTCCGTCTAGGATGACAAAAACTTGATGTGTGACACTTCTGGTGTTAGGGTCATCACCCGACATGCTTAGCATAGCAGAAAGTGGAAGACTTGGGGATTCTGATACGTCTGCTCCGACATTTCAGATACTGTAGGACGAAGGAGACATGCGGGAAAGAACAAGGTGATATCTTCTTTGAATGGACAAACGAAAAATAAATTATACTTGCCTTTCCAGACCACTCGCGACAGCTCTGAGAGTGAAACATCCGGCAGCGAAAGTTGCACCAGTGACAGCAGATCGATTGCAGGAGGGGGTCCTTTAAAAGGCTCGTCTGAAATAAGACCTTGTGTTGCTTTGAGTTTCAACTCTTCCTTTCATTTCTTCTTTCAGGACCAGCTTATCTACAGGATGACTATTTCGACTTACCTGGAGAACGTGCTGCACCACAATATCCTGCGGCTCCTCGTCCTAAACCAGCTCAACCAGTCAACTTCAAACCAGCGGTTGCCAATAAATTTTATCCCTCCAGGCCAGCAGTTGTTAATCAGCAAATTCCTCCCAGACCTACAACGGCCCCGGCCGTTTCCAAACCAGCTATACCGAGGCCAGCTTTTGCTTCACAACCAGTAGCTCGCCCACCACAGAATCTACCTAAGCCAGCTCCGCTACAGCCTGCCCCCAGACCTGCATTCGTTCCACGAGCGGTGGCCCCCAAACCAGCGGCCGTTGCCCCATATACGTATCCTGCGCAGGCGAATGTTCAGCCCTTTGTAGGTCCTAGACCTCCATTCGTCAATAACCAGCAATTTCCAAACCAGTGGCCGTATTACTAGTACAACCTTCGCATACTCAAATTTCCCTGATCTTTGTGCTACTCTTACATAGACATTCCAAAAACTACCTGCAATACAGCCTAGTACTCCGTTGACCAACTTCCGCTTTCACTTTTCGAAGTTTCCATTGATTAGTTTTCGATGTAAACAAATTTATCCAGTAGCCATCATAGGAGTCCTCGTGAAGAGTCCAAATTAATAGTGATAAAACAAAGACTTAAACCTTTTAAAATGGAAACCGCAAACATTGTCACCACCTTTGCAATTATTCTAATGAATAAAAGGCTTTGTCATTCAGGACTACGTCACATAAAAAGCTCATGATTTTCTGACTATGATTTCGAAGAAGGTGGAGGTGGTGTACTGGCAAGTGACGTAGGATCTCTTGTGCACGGTTACGGGTTCGAATCTTCGAACATCCGCTTAGGCAAAACAAGCTTCCATCCCTCCGGGTCGGTTAATTGGTACTAGAGTCGTCTGGGAGGATAAAAGCAGCGGCTTGTACATCGGCTGCCCATTGCATGGACCACATACCATTCAATACGCCATGACGATCTCAAATGGAAGTCGAAGGCGGGGAGCCAGTCGGGGAGCGGGGAAGTCCTCCAGACGGTACTGAAGAACGTTCCCAGGTTTTATCCTTTATAATTGGTTGCTTTTAGAGTCCGCCGGCTTGCCCCGCGAGCGCGCGCCGGCCGCGCTGAGGCGGCACTATCCACTTGTTTACAAACTGAATATTGATCGATACCGCAGGCCGAATGACTAATTTGTCGTCATTGAAAGCGACCGCTGAAAGGCTTTTAATGCCGATAATTTAGTCGTTCAGCTATCCACTTGCTTACAAACCGAATGTTGATCGATACCGTGGCCTGCGGTATTGATCAACATTCGTAAGCAAGTGGATAGCACCGCCTCCCGGCCGGGGTGCGTGCGCTTGCGATGCCGGCCGGCGGGCAATGAAAGCAGCTATTTCGAGAGTGATATATACAAGAGTTGAAAAGGAAAGAAAATTGATCAGTTTAAATGGCTCATCGAAATACGCTCTTTTTGCCAATATTGAAACTTGAGCTTCGATGGGCAGTGCGGAACATGCCGGAATGATGATTGACGATAACAACCGATAAATACTGAGAGGAGCTGGTAAGGAGTCATAGAGGGCAAGAGCCATGGATCTGTTAGGCCCATCGTGTTAATCGCCGCATCTACCCGTTTCGGGTGACGCGGGTTATGTAGGGTGTGGTGGAGTTCTAGATAGTTCTTATAACAGGTAATAAGACCCGATAAAGTGCCATAGAAGGTCAGAGCAGTAGGTGGTAATGGGAATAGGAAAAGGGGAAGAGAGAAAACTTGGAATAATTAAGACGTGGTCGAGAAGTTATGATTATACTAAAAGTTCTTCGCGCTCTTCTGTTGGCACACTTTCCTCGTATGACATGAGTGGATCTTTCCGTTCAATTGCACAGAATGATGCACAGTATTGAAGGTAGTCCGGACCAAGTTGTAGGCAATGGTTCAAACCAGCAAAGCTTGGTTTGTCATGACAGTGATCCAGTCTCAAAGGCACAGTTAACGATAACTCTGGGATGTCTAGTTTCAGACCACTAATGCGAGTGATAGTTCAAAATAGTAAAAAGTGGCAAAGAAAACGAGAAAATCGGTGTATTTAGAGGAACAAATGCTTTGGAAATTAAGTGGAATTAGGTGTTGAATGAGATCGTTACAAAAATATAAAACACATATTTGGACGAACCGATTGAACGCATGCGCTATAGCATGCAGCTGGCTCCAATACACTGACTCCGTGCAATGAGTGGGTCCTGGTGCGAGTGGCGCAACCTCTACGCTTTATATCTCCGTTCCTTCGTCACTACGGCAGAAACTGCTTTTCGACTCCACGAGAAGATAGAGCGGACACTGTGAAGGTTTATTGCCAGACATTATAGGCGGCACTAGTACAGCAACTAGCATGATATATATTGATTTCAATAACTCATATTACAGTATATGTGTACAAGGGCAGTGTCGAGCAAATCGTAATACATGTCATATGTCATGTTAGTGCCATGTGTCATATAGTGCTATGTTGTCCACCTATCTCAATTATGGAATTTAACATCAACATAGTAACTGATAATGCTTGAGGAAATCGTACAATTTAAGCAATAGAGGTAATACAAGGAGTAAGTAGAGTATGGCTGAGGTTATACATATAATTGTAGTGGTATCCCAATTATCCTAATGTTAGGTCGGCTGCTGCAGGTCGACTGTAGGCCTGAACGGCTACAAGGGATTTCCATCTCTCCATCTGCATGGCTCAAGCGCTATCAAATCCCTGCTCCAAAGCCGTAGATGCTGCGTCCCTCGAAAACTGTGTGTGGTACAGTTTTTATGACTATTCCCTGCAGTAAATAACAGCTGCTGTAGCCTTTTTGACAGTCGAGGGGCTCAAAGGTAGTAGATCGGGAACGAATAGGTAGTACTCTTGGTATCCGCCGGGTCTAACGTGCTTCTCTAGCACGGTGTGCTTCGTCTCCTATTCTAACGGCTACGACAGCTCCCCGTCGTGCCTGAAAAGTTTTCGACTCAGCAATAAATTGAGTAAGTATTCCTCGTGCATGTGAGGTTGGGCTTCAACTTCGAACCTCACTTAAACTTCGATTTCACTGAATCGTAGGAAGCCTAAACAGCAGTATGGCTAGTGCT